TCCTTCACAAATTCTTCCAAAAAATTGAGAAGGAAGGCATAATACCAAACACGTTCTAATAAGCCAACATTACACGAATACCAAAACCGAACAAGGACAGCACACAAAAAGAAAACTACAGGCCAATCTCCCTAATGAACACTGAAAATAATGAACACAAAAATCCTCAATAAAATTTTAGCTATCAGAATCCAACAATGTATCCATAAGATAATTCACCACTACCAACAGGATTCATTCCAGGAACACAAGGATGGTTCAACATCTGAAGATCAATCAATGTTATCCAACACATCAACAAAAAGAGATATAAAAACCATATGATCATATCAATAGATGCTGAGAAAGCTTTCAACAAAGTGCAACACTCATTCATGATAAAAGCCCTTGAAACTCTTGGGATACAAGGAACATACCTCAACATCATAAAGGCCATATATGACAATACAACAGCCAGTATCATTCTCAATGGTGAAAAGCTGAAAGCATTTCCATTAAGATCTGGAACAAGACAAGGATGTCCACTCTCACCACTGCTTTTCAATATAATACTGGAAGTCCTTGCCAGAGCAATAAGACAAGAGAAAGACATACAAGGGATCCAAACAGGAAAAGAAGAAGTCAAACTATCACTATTTGCAGATGATATGATAATATACATAGAGAACCCCAAAAAGTCCACAGAAAAACTAATTCAACTCATCAATCAGTTCAGTAAAGTGGCAGGATACAAAATCAACACGCAAAAGTCATTAGCCTTCCTATACACAAACAATAAATCTGAAGAAGAAGAAATCAAAGAAACCATCCCTTTTATTATCAAAAAAGAAATCAAATACTTGGGAATAAATCTACCAAAGAGGTAAAGGACCTATACAAAGAAAACTATAAAACACTGTTAAAAGAAATAGAAGACACAAAGAAATGGAAAGACATCCCCTGCTCATGGATTGGAAGAATAAACATTATTAAAATGGCCATCCTACCAAAAGAAATATACAGATTCAATTCTATTCCCATCAAAATTTCAATGTCATTCTTCAAAGAAATAGAACAATTATTGATGAAATTCATATGGAATCACCAAAAACCCCGAATTGCCAAAGCTCTCCTGAAAAAGAAAGAAGGGAATGGAGGCATCACACTCCCAGACTTCAAACTATACTACAAAGCCATAATCATCAAAACTGCATGGTATTGGAACAAGAATAGACATACAGACCAATGGAATCGAATAGAAAATCCAGAAATAAACCCACAGATTTATGGTCAACTAATCTTTGACAAAGGAGCAAAGACTATGCATTGGAGCAAAGAAAGTTTCTTCAATAAATGGTGCTGGGAAAACTGGGTTGCTACATGCAAAACAATGAAGCTTGACCACTACCTCACACCATATACAAAAATCAACTCAAAATGAATTAAAGAACTAGACATAAGACCTGAAACCATAAAATATATAGAAGGAAATATAGGCGAAACACTACGTGATTTGCACATCAAAGACATCTTTACAGATACATCACCCAAAGCAGTGATAGTGAAGGCAAAGATAAACAGCTGGGACTACATCAAATTAAAGAGCTTCTGCACAGCAAAAGAGACAATAACAAAAACAAAGAGAAACCCCACTGACTGGGAGAACATTTTTGCACACAACACTAATGATAAAGGACTGATCACAAAAATCTGCAAAGAGCTGATAAGACTCAACAACAATAAAGAAAATAACCCAGTCAAAAAATGGGCAGAAGAGCTAAAAAGAAACTTCTCTGAAGAGGAAATGCAAATGGCCAACAGGCATATGAAAAAATGTTCAACATCACTTGTAATCAGGGAAATGCAAATCAAAACTACCATGAGATACCATCTTACACCAGTGAGAATGGCACATATTAAAAAAACTAGCAACAACAAATGTTGGCGAGGTTGTGGAGAAAAAGGAACTCTCCTGCACTGTTGGTGGGAGTGCAAACTGGTCCAACCACTTTGGAGAGCTGTGTGGAGATTTCTTGACCTACTAAAGATAGAGCTTCCATATGATCCAGCAATCCACTCCTAGGTATTTACCCAAAGGACACAGAAACATCAATTCCAAAGAGCACCTGCAGCCCTATGTTTATAGCAGCACTGTTTACAATAGCTAAGCTTTGGAATCAGCCCAAATGCCCAAAAATAGATGACTGGATCAAGAAGATGTGGTGTATATACACCATGGAATATTACTCAGCATTCAAAAAAGATAAACACATGCAATTTGCAGCAACATGGATGGCGCTGGAAGGGATCATGCTCAGCAAAATAAGCCAAAAAGAAAAAGAAAAATACCGGATGGTCTCACTCATAGCAGGAATCTAGAAAACTTAAATAAGGGATCAGGAGAACGAATAACTATAAGAAAGTGAAAATCAAAATCATCAAACAACTATGAACCAGAGCCACTCTATGGGGGGTGGGGGCCGGGGATTGGAGGGATTGGGGTCAAAATAAGGGGGTCGCAATTGTATGGGGAATATAAAAATAAAATTTATAAAAAAAATTAAAAAATGTAATTTCAGTCAAAAAAACTGTATGCATGTGATTTGATAATTTTTCAGCTATAATATGTATATTATATTGATTGGAAATTATACGACTCTGGTCCTATTTTCTGCCAACCCCCCCCCAAAATTAATACTTGCCTTTTATATCCCCAAATGACATATATATTGGTAATTGTGAACAAATAGTGACAAAGCTAAATGTGATCTCCCATTTAGGGTATTTCATCAGTGAACAATTCCTTAATGATCAAAGAGAATAAAGGAATCATGTCATCATTTCAGGTATTAATGGTTGATCAGGCTGTGGTGATGCTCCTTTGGAATCAAAGCATGCTCTTTAAGCTTTCTTGCATGCTCTTTAAGAAATAGAATAAACCATCTTCACTGCATATGAGAAAAACCAAGTCCTATTATTTAAACAATAACAGAGGTTGGATACAAGTCACCCATCTTCTTTTTTTCTCCAATCTCTATATTTCTGAAATAAAAATGGAGTTAAAACAGATCCATATTAGCCGTTTTTAGGAGCCATCAGTCGATATCTGTATCACCTTATTTATCTTAGTTAGAGAATTAAGAATGGATTGAGCAAAAATGGAAACTAAAAAATGAAATGTCAACTTTAACGTTGGTCCACAACCAGTTATGAGCTATGACTTCTCTGTATGGAAAATAAGTTGGATGGTCCCTACTGTGTGTATATCACTCTTGTTACAATGATGTGAATGCATTTCTATTACTACATACTTGCTTTGGTGAATGTGAGTAAAGGACTGCACCATCATTCTTCAGAAAAGCAGCAGAAGTGGCAGAAGTCTTTGGAAGGAGTACTGGCAGTAGATGTGAAAAGAAGCAGAAACTCAGCAGTTAGCTTGGTACTGGGGCAAGTTGTCCTTTTAAAGAATTATCCTGAGGTTGTATCGTATCTTTAAGTAATTAGAAAATTAGAATTGAGCCCAGAGAAGAGAATAGTCCTTTGAGACCAAAGCAGTAACTCAGATTTTTTCAGAGGTGAAAATAAGGAGGAATATAGCATTGAGTTTAAAAATATTTAAGGTGAATGAATATACTGTACCTGTGTGAAAAAAGGAAATCAGCAAGGTTCATTGACACTGACTGAGAACACAACAAGGAAAGAGTACCCTAAAAGAGGGTCAGACACAAAATCTTCAGGTAGGTAAAGAAAGTCTCCCATTGACATGAGAGATGGATAGAAATAGGGGCAAAAGGACTGAAAACAGCAATCCCGGTGTCAATAGAAGGCTGCTTCAAAGTAGTCATTCAATTGTCTTTCCTAAAGGCCCTTCATCTAGGCATTACAAGGTACCTGAGGAAGTCCACTGCAGATTTTAGCCAAGCCAGGAGGCTAATGGTCAGAGCCACCTTGTACTCATTCTGCTGATATCCAATTCCTGATGTAAGAAAAGATGTGAGTTCGGGCTTGATTGGTCTGCAGCTTTTTTTAACTTCTAACAGCCATGAAACTGGACTTTTAGAAATCTTTGTATTATAACAGTGACTATACCTTCACCAGGTGAGTATCTTTGCAAACTACATGACAAAATAAAAATAGGTTGCTGCTGATAAAGCTTAATTTGCTCACGTTTCTATTTTTTGACACATCTTGTAAAATATACACATATGTAATAGATGAACAAATCAGCTTAAAAAATGGGTCAGCAATTACTCATCAGCATTGGAGCATTAATTTTATAAAATAAAATTATAAATATCATTATATCAATTTTATTTTCAACTTATAAACAATTAAACATTAAAATAATCTAACACAAGCATTCAATTTATAGGAAACCATCCAACCTATTGAGAGACTATTGAAAGTACAAAGGATGTGCAATGTTTAGCATACAATGTATAAAGCAACTTTTGAACCCTGCAATTTTTACAGTTAGTGACTAAGAAGTGTTGATGGTTTCAAAAAGAAGTCATTTAAGCTTATTTCCACTTCAGAATTTTAATGTATTTATCAGGGTTATGATTCTTCCTATGAATTCATCTTTAGTTATTCAAATTTAAAATTTGCCAGGAACAGTATTTCATGGGCAATGCTGAGCCAAAACTGCTAAGAAACTGGGGAAAATCCTAGCATCAAGGAAAAGGTGGATATTGGGATTTATCAGTCTTTTTTTAAAAAAAAGATTTATTTTATTCATTTATGCATACAAGAGCTGGGGTGTAGGTCAGAGGTGCAGGGTGGGGGTGAGAGGATTCACCAGAGAAAGAATGGGGAGAACAGGTAAATCTACTGAAATACACTGCTGAGGGGAGCAGCAGGTCAGGAGAGGTCTGCTGTGCCATGTGGACCAGCAGTTCTCTGGCCAGGGATCAAACCAGTGCCTTGGTGGCTGCCGAAAGCTTCATAGCTCTGGGACTTAACCCAGTGCACCACCACGGAGGCCTGGGATTTATCTGTCTTCCTTGAGATCTCCCACTCACCTAATAATTGCGAAGGTTCATCAGCCCTTTGACCAGTGGACAGTAGGCTTCTATTCATAGAACGAAATTAGATGCTGACGCCAGTCCTTTAAGGAAAAGAAATGTAGAGGAAGAACCCATTGACAGGTGTCCATGAACCTAGACAGAGAATAAGTAACATGGATACCAGAGAGAAACTCAGAATTTATGTGGAAATTATGGTAAAAGAATTTGGGTATCGGTTACAAGAAAGAGCAAGATCATCCAAACATGCACCCGCTGCCTGGAGTCTCACTCATCCCAGTGCTTGTTGGGGTTTCGGCCTGAGGTGGGGCAGATATTTATAGTTTATTCAACCTATTGTTTTTTTGCTCTTATAAACTTGTCAGGGCTCAGAGAATGTACATCTTCCCTGGAGATGTACAGGAGAATGAAGAATGGAAGAAACTTAAGTGGACTGAGTTTGAATCTTGAATTTGACATTGGAACATGTTTTTAAAAGACATTCTTTTCATAAATACAGAATGATCATGGAGTGGGGAGATGAAGAATTTTCCACCATCACTGTAAAAGGTGAGCGTGTGTGTGTGTGTGTGTGTGTGTGTGTGTGTGTGTGTGTGTATGTGAGTAGTAGAAGTAGTAGAGGAGCTCAGGAGCTAAACTGACTTTAGATCTACAAAGAAAAAAAAATAAATACACCAAGCTTTGCATATTTCAATCATGATTTTTACAATTCAACCTACCAATACCAATATCTGAGTGCCCTAATTACATACTACTCCTTTTTATTTTTTTCTTTCAATCAATTAATCCCAGCAAGGGTTCACCCTCAAAATCCCAACATAATAGGTAAAGATTGAGGTTTTAAATATGATTTCATTAATAGAATCAGCATGAATGACAGAACATATGATTTTTCTTTCTCTGTATTTCCTTCAGCCCATCTGGGTCCATAACATTCCTCATAGGATAGGAAATATGCTGTAACTAGTATTCTTAGCTTTTCCTCATGATTTTGGGTTATATATCCTGAAAAGGAGTCCTTTATGCAATATTTGAACAAATAAAGATGACTGCTGCTAATCCTCTTATTCACAATTCCAGAGGTTACTTAGGAAGGTGAGTTCCAAATTTATTTTGGCTGACCCAGAACAGCCTGTTTGGGAGAAAATTTCTGCAAAAATACTTGCTAAAGATTATTCCTGAAATATTGTTTACTTACAAATATCTAGAAACTTGGGTTGCTTTTTTATCACTTTAATACAAGGTTTTTTGACAGCAGCACCACTGGCATTTGGGGCTAACTATTCAGAGTGGTGTGCATGATAGGATGTTCAGCAGCTTCCTTGATTTTTCTACACGGTAGATGCCCTTTTGCCCCAGTTCCACAACTCTCAAAAGTGACTCCAGGCACGCCAATGTCTTCTAGTGCAAAACCCTTCCCATTTGAAAAACAATCATTTAATATCTTGAAAATACTTTGATTCTTTAGAGAAGATGACTAATTAGATTGGTTCCTTATTGCCAAAGAGATATCTGCACACAATATGTCTTACAACTTTAAGGAAACATTATACACATGTACAACACAAATATGATGAATATTGCCTATCATACATTGCTCTTGCCATCCAACCAACAAAATGTAATATTGTCTTGATTGTGGATTGTTGAGTAATTGAGAGCAGAATAATGATAAAGATAAAAAATTATTAGATGACCCATTAACCAGTATTAGAATAACTAAGAACTGAAATAACCACTAATTCTGTTTCTATAGCATGAACATTTTTGTATTTTATCCCCCTTTTGAGGAGCTATTTTTCATTCATAGCGCTGTTGTAAATTATGCACAGCAGACTTCTTCATTTAATAGGTTCAGGTCAGAGAGTGATTGTATTTCAGCAGTTGGTATTCAGGGATTTTGTAATTTATGAGGTTTATTAATTTAACAGATTATTTGCTTAAGATGCCACTATCCTTTCAGGAAGCTTTCACTGTAAGCATTTCTGGTCAAGTTAATAGATTTTAGAGAAGCTCCAATGTTTAGAGCATTCTCATATTTTCAAAATTATATAAATTCCATAAAATTTAGCCCATAGGAAGTGACTAGAAGGAAGAAAAAGAACTGCTTGTTCCTTTTGTGAGTGTGAACAAGCGTAGTGGGGAGACTGGAAGTTACAGGTGGAGGGCAGTGCCTTATGGTTCTCATGGAAGACTCAATAGGGAATGATAATGCAAAAAAAAAAGGTAAATATTGGCAAAGCAGGTGCTTACAGATCAGGGCCCCTAAAGAGAGCAATCCTCAGCATTTCTGAGAGGATCTCAAAATGGTGTACTGCTTCTTTAGTCACATTGCAAAATAGGCAAGAACAGAATGAACATGGAGATCTTCCTGCTAATGCAGCTGGGAAAAGTTCTCAGTAATGGGGGACTGGGAAAGACAGGCAAGTACTTTTGCCTATATTTATATATATGATCTTTTGTTACTAGGTTAGATTTTTTTTTAAAAGATCAATTATGAAGGGGATTCCCTGGTGGCTCAGAGGTTAAAGTCAGCACTATCAAGATAGCACCAGCCACTGCGACATGATTTCGAATCTTGGCTAGGGAGGTAAACCACATAGTGCAGCAGACCTCTCCTGTCTTGCCCGCTGCTCCTTGGCAGTGTGTTTCAGAGAATCTGCCTGTTCTGCTCCCCACTCTGTCTCTGGTGAATCCTCTCACCCCGTGTACCACTGGCCTACTCCCCAGTTCTTGTATGCATAAATAAATAAAAGTAAATCTTAAAAAAATTATTATGAGAAAATTAAAGCAGGGGCTCTAAATATGACCCTTGGCTCCTCTCAGTGTTCAGCAGGATCATTTTGTTGGCAGGTCTCTAAATGCAGAGTCCATCTGCTGGAGGACTTATCATAATATAAACGTGCTACAGATTGTCTTTCTACACAGAAGGGACCTTGTCTAGGTAATAAGCAGTTAATCAAACTGACAAAAATAGATCACATATTTTTCCTTTGAAGTAGATTACTCATTTTCTATATGGAAAAAGCCCATGACTTCTCATGCTAGCTTCTTTGTCACAGGCAACCTTCTAAGAATCTTCCTCCCAGTATCAAATAATGGTCTCCTCCCTGACCCCTGTACATTTTGCTAGCATTTCCTCCATCTACACCTTACTCACATCTTTCCACTCTGGCGGAACGACTTCCCATTCATGTCTATCTGCATCCTATCATTCTTGAATCTCTGGTTCAAGATTTATCTTGTTCTCAATCCTTATTTGAACTTCACCCTCCACACCCACCTTGAAATAATATCATTAATCTCCAGACATTTATGGTCTTCAGTGCAAGGACCGGTCATTTGTCATTGCCAGTTAGTTTGTATATTTTAATATTTTTGATGTACATGTTTTATATTCTTACTCATAGAGAACTTAAATATGGAGATGATTAATACTCCAGCATATCCTTTGCACAAAATTGATATTTTTAATATATTTAAGTGAAATTAATTGAGAGTGAGGTGTTTCCTGACATTCAGGCATCCCACTTCATTCTTTGTGGACTGCCCCTCCAATGCCAAGCATCTTGCTACCTTTATTACGACCATGGCTGGTTCTCTCTTTCCACTTCCTCCTGCAACCTCTACAATTGAATTGTTCCCCAGTAGGTAATAATAAAGAGTTATTCAGGCAGGTTTATTCCTGCCTATGAGAGAGTCAGATTTTTAATGTCAAATTAATATAAACAAGGACATATTCATGCACGCGCGCACACACACATGTGCACGCACACACACACGTGTGCTGTATAAGAAAACAGAATGAAGACTTTTTTTTCAATAGTCTCAGATTATGTCCTCTGGTTGCTGTCTTACAGCTATAGTCTATAAGTAAATGGGGAAATAAGATTATATAAGCTAACAAGTATAATGCTAATGATTTTAACACACATTTATTAAGCTTCTGGAAGGATACATGATGTATGTTTATTTTCAATAAGACTTTTGAAACATTTAGCTTTTAAAGAAGTTCACCCTGTTATCCCAGCTCTCATATGTTGATACTTGGTTTTTCCTCCATTTTCATTGAATTGGCATCAAAATCCCTGCAGGCAAGGCCTGAAAATCTACCAGGATATCCCCTGTTATAAAATTAACCTAAAGTCACAGTTTCAATGTGGTACCATTGAAATTTAATATTAATTTCATACCATCAAAGGATTTATTTTCTACCTTTACATAACAGAATGATTGTAACTTCCCCATCTCCCTTTTGCTTTTTCTGTGTAGTTATTTTTAATGTTCACTGGTTTTCTTGAAACTTAGCAATCAGATAAAGCTACCTTGATTGATGTTACAGAATCCTGGATTTCCCCTCCAAACCAAAGGAAGCCTTCCTCATTATCTCTGGTCTCTTCAGCTAGGCCAGACTCATCTTCAGGTAAATGTACTTATTCCCTTATCTCCTCAAATCAGCTATCCACTTTTCTCCAGCCAGGCTTGGCTGTAAATTGACAAGATCTCCAGTTGTCTTTGTGATTTCCCTGCAGAGTACAGCAGGGTCCCTTTCAGTTTAAAAGAAACAGGTGTGGGGGTAACTCTGCTCAACCTTTAAAAAATTGCTGTCATAAAAGACAGAGATGGAGTGGTAACTTAAATCTGCTTTTTTGCTTTTTATTTTTTTAAATAGCAAAAGCTTCATACTCTTATGGAATAGGAAATTTAGGCAAGATAAAATAGGCTAATAACACAGCACCAGGATGACGTGTTCCTACTATTTGTTCTTCATTTTTTGAACAAGATGAAACTATGATATTCAAGCTCACAGTTTTCAAAAGCCTGAAAGTAAACTTAGAAAAACTAGAACCAATGAGTTCGGAAGGAAGATTTGACTTTGAATCCTTCCAAACTTGGTAAACAACGGAAGAGATTTGTCATAACAAGAGGAGTGATGAAGTTGGAATATAAAAACTTGAGGTAGTCTAGCCCCATCTGACATTAACTATCTGAGAGATCTTTGATAGGTCATGAAAGCTCTCTGGGTCTCAGGAGTCAGTCACATATGT